CTCTTTCTATGCCACCAAAAACCCAGTGGCCCTCTCCACTGTATTATTAACAGACATCAATAAAAGAATAACAGTTTAAACAGCACTTCAAACCGGAACAACACAATTTTTTAATAACTGATGCTGAAGTGGTAGATAACCAAGTCATATCCCTACTATTGAATCAGATATTGAAGCCTCTGTAACACATTTTTTAATAATATTTAAGAGATTCAGACCACTTTATCACTGACCGTTTTTAATTCAAGGATAGATTTATATGCACAAGTTGCAACACAAGCTACACTATCCTTTGTAAAATGCACCATTGTCACATGGGGAGACAGGCTGTTGATTGTTACACATTAATTCTGTCTAAGTTCCAAACATTTCTATAGAGGCAACTAGAATGGCAGATGTGATTTTACAATAACTAATGTACTCTCTGCTAATAGAACACCAACATGAATTGTTTTAGTAATCAATGAGCCAGAATGATTAATTCACTGATCGTGGGCCCTCAAAATATAGAAGAAGGAGAGTAACATTGACCCCACATAGTATAAACTAAATCCACAATTTAACATAATTTTGTTATTATTCAAGAAACCGCCCCTTACCCTCACTACTTTTTTATTTTTATCGATTCTGTATTTGTTTATGTAGATACTTGCAACTGTCTTTTTTAACTATAAATATTAAAGCTTTTTTTCCATTGATATATTGTATTAAATTTAACATCTAGTAATAGGAAATTCTCTTCTCTTCTCATAGATAGTCTCAATTTATTAAAGCTTTACTCTACTTGTTACATACACAGATGGTTTGTGTCTTTTGATTTAACTTTGAGACATTATTGTTTTATAAATGGGCAGGTTTAGCAATAACAGTTAAACCTAACCTATGGCTGGCTTTGCAAATGTCTGTCCGAGGATACAGCCCAGCAGTACCACAGGTGGCTGATAAATCACTCCTAAGTAAATTGAGGAAACAAACAGGCATCCCATTCATCAACTGTAAAAAAGCTCTGACGAAGTTTGATAACAATTTTGATCAGGTAAACAAACAAAATATTATTTTTTGTTCAAATTTAACTTTTCATGTAATTAAGCTCATATAGCCAGTAAAAAAAAAGATCATATTGTGTTTCAATCATAAAGTGTTAGCTATGCATAATATGACTTTGTATAATTTGTTACTAAATGTTACTGGTATCTTCAAAGAAAAAAGATTTAATTTTCTTTTTTTCCTCCCTTTCAAGGAAGTCCTATATAGTTTTAAAAATAAAAATGTTCCAATATATTTTCTTTGTCTCAAGTCTCGGGTCAATTTTACTGGGGTACTTATTAAAAAATGTTAAAAATTAATTTGATCTTTTTTTGTGTGTATAAATGTTATGTTATAGACTTATTAGAATCTCTTTTTCTAAAGGCCAAGCAATTGCTGCTATAAGAAGCACAGAAAGAGGGTTGGGCTAGAGCAACAAAATTTCAAGCACGACTAATGTCTCAAGGCTTGGTAGCTGTTCTGGCTGATAACAAAGAGGCAACTATGATAGAGGTAAAATCTAATTGATATTAATTTAAATGTTCTTTGCTTTAAAATCAGATGATTTCATTTGGTTCCATTTTTCCATTTCTACCCCCTGAAATTTTAAAGAGGATTTGATTTATTGTATTCATGTTATAATTTTTAAAAACAATAGTGGCTTTATTGCTCAATCTATTTTTTTTTAAATTTTGGAATCCTAACAGGTGAACTGTGAGACTGATTTTGTAGCTCGAAATGAGAAGTTCATTTCCATGGTTACCAAGCTAGTTCAAGAGTGTGACAGTCACTTTGGAAATTTGAAGGAGAAAGAGGTGCAATTTAAATGTGAAATATTCAATTGATTTTTTTTTAAAGAAAAAAAAATACCAACAGTTATTTTGATGTTTTTCCTCAAAACTCAAAATATCAGTGAAAGTAAAATTTTCCCCTTTCCTACAAACATCTGCATTACAGGCTGCATACCACTTTGTGCTGTATTATTATTATTTTCTTTTGCTGCATTTCTTTATAAGTAAATCTGAATATTTTTATTTTCTTTCGTTAATGAGTTATAAAAGTTATACTAGAGGTTAAGAACATCTTTCCAGATGTTGAGTCAACTTGTGAAAATGTACACTGATTTACAACTTCAGATATTTACTAATATACAACTTCAGATATTAACCGATTTACAACTTCAGATACAGTATACTGTTTTACAGCTTCAGATATTTACTAATATACAACTTCAGATATTTACTGTTATACAACTTCAGACATTAGTGTTGAAAAGTTATTCCAGATGTAACTTTATTGAGTTTTTTTTGTTTTTGTATTTCTTAGAAAATCAAATTGATAACTTTTGTTTTCTATTTTGTTTACAAGTAGAAGTATGTCTTTTACTTAGGCATGTGAGAAAAGTTACATCAAAATTAGTTTAAGCATGTGTGGGCTAAGCAAATGTCTTCCTTGATATTTTTTAAATACCAAAAGATTTTGACTAGTAACAAATTACACTAATAAATTTGTTTAAAAAAAAAAAAGCTTCATAATTTAGCAAATATAGAATCTAAATGTATGACATTTTTGGGTTAATGGTGAATTTTTTTCACCTCGCATTTCAGATAACCTTAAACAAAACTGAACTAGACCAAATCAAGACATCTAATGAGACAACTTTAGCACATCTTGTGGTGCTCACTGTTGCCAGTCTTGGAGAGAACATGTCTCTACTCTAAGGAGGGGGGCATACATCAGAGCAGGGCCTGGCAGTATGTTGGCTTCCTATATTCATCCATCAAGTAGGTTTTCTTAATCATACAATAATAATACACACTAGTTGTTGATTGTATTTAATTGTTGATTGCATTTAATTTGTTGATTGCATTTAATTGTTGATTGTGATTACTTTAAATTCACTTTAGGCATAATATCATGTCATATAAATGTATACAATATATGATATTTCGAGCAGGACAAGTGTGAGGAATTTACAGATTATATAACTTTTATTGATCTATTTCAATCCAGCAGGAAGCTTGATTTTTCAAGCTACAGGGCAGAACTAAACTTCAAACAGCCAATTCAAATTTGTATTTATGCATCCATTGTAACTTTTACTGAACTTGTCTCACAGCAAAGCAGACTGATCCAAAGAAAATGAAAATGCAAACTCATAAACAAAACAACCTAGATTCAGTGTTAACAAAAAAAATTATTGATGGTTATTACTTCAGCTTTTCATTTTTTTTTTTTTTGTTTCATGGTTTTTGGTAGTCTGTTGACAGTCTTAATTCATCTGAGTTTTAACTCATCAGGTTGGCCTGTACATATTTTATTACTAAACTTATTCATTATTTTTTGTTTCATGGTTTTTGGTAGTCTGTTGACAGTCTTAATTCATCTGAGTTTTAACTCATCAGGTTGGCCTGTACATATTTTATTACTAAACTTATTCATTATTTTTTGTTTCATGGTTTTTGGTAGTCTGTTGACAGTCTTAATTCATCTGAGTTTTAACTCATCAGGTTGGCCTGTACATATTTTATTACTAAGCTTATTCATTATTTTTTGTTTCATGGTTTTTGGTAGTCTGTTGACAGTCTTAATTCATCTGAGTTTTAATTCATCAGGTTGGCCTGTACATATTTTATTACTAAGCTTATTCATTATTTTTGTTTTGTCTGCATATTAATTTATTTAATTTTATTATTACTCTTGACAGACTCCAGTAAATCACAGAAAAGCGTATTATTAGGTAAATATGGATCCATAGTAGAAATGAAGAAGAACAACAAGGTTGAAAAACCAGTGATGTCACTCAATGACCTCAGCAGCCACATTTGTCAGCATATAGTTGGTATGAATCCTAAAACAGTCTGTGAATACATCCCAAGAGAAAATAAAAAACCTGTGGAAGAAAAGAGGTTTGATGAGGAAGATATCTTTAATGAAGATGGCTCAAGTGAGGCTGCTGTCCAAATGCAGGTCGAAGTGGAGGAAGACAAGTTGCTGAATCAAGAATTTCTGCTGGACACCACCATGACAGTCGGGGAACTTGTGTCGATCAACGGGGTGGAAATTTTGCAGTTTAGGCGTTTCGCTTGCGGAGAGGAGGTAGAAGGGGAAGCTAAAGCAGAGCAGTGAGACATTTACCAATATGGGTTAACACTTGGGGTAGACTACATAGATGACAGCTTAAAGGTTATCAGCATTATTTTGACCAGTTTTTGAGTATTTCTTAATGTAATCAAGTAAAAGTGAGTGTCATGTTTAATAATGGAAGGGATGATGATGGGGGGGACAAAGCTTTTCACATATGAAAATTTGTTGGGTTTTTTTTCTTTATATTTTATTGATTGCATTAATGAGAAGTGGAAGTGTTTGAAGACAGTCATTGTTCGAATGGGCTTCTACAGCTTAATTTATTATTTGGGTAATGGCAATTCTAAGTAGATCAACTTCCATTGCCACAGCAAAGATTGTCTGTTGAGAATATACCAGTGTGATTTGAATGTGATAAAAAGATTGAGTTGATGTTTACAAGTAAGCTTAATACACAAGAAATGACCAACTATTCAATCAATGTGTGTTGTTATTTTTGTTGTAGCCATTCAAGGCAGGTGTTGTCAATCAGTTATTTTTAATCTCTTTATTTTTTCAGAAGTAAATCCATTTATGAATTTATGCTGATTTAACCCCACAAGTTGTATTTGTGAACTTTTATGTTAATTAATTGCGCCATTATGACCTCTAAGATTTTTATTTCTGCCCCACCTTGGCTAATTGACCAGCTGCCCCGAGACCTGCTGTAAGTTTAAGCAGTTCAAATTAATATACACATTTAAACATCAATAAGTATAAGATGTTTATAGAGAGTTTCAAAGCCAATGGACAGAACTTTGGGTTCAATATGGAACTCTTCTTAAATAGCATCATAATATTTGATACTGGTAATAAATAGTCTACACTTCACTGATATCAGCACAGACTGAACTTCTTTCTCGCTGCACACTGATCAAAGCATTTAAAATTTCTTTCTCGCTGCACACTGATCAAAGCATGCCAAATTTCTTTCCTGCTGCACACTGATCAAAGCATTTAAAATTTCTTTCTCGCTGCACACTGATCAAAGCATGCCAAATTTCTTTCTTGCTGCACACTGATCAAAGCATGCCAAATTTCTTTCTCGCTGCACACTGATCAAAACATGCCAAATTTCTTTCTTGCTGCACACTGATCAAAGCATGCCACATTTCTTTCACACTGCACACTGATCAAAGCATGCCAAATTTCTTTCTTGCTGCACACTGATCAAAGCATGCCAAATTTCTTTCTTGCTGCACACTGATCAAAGCATGCCAAATTTCTATTGAAGATCACATTCACTGTAATGGTTTTCCTCTCACACACCAAAATCAATGTAGAATGGCTGAGGAACACATTCAATGTGATGCTGAACATCTCATACATCAAATCAAGGTAGAATGGAGGTACACATTCAATGTGATGGTGGACATCTCATACATAAAAAAAGGTAGAAGGGAGGAACACATTCAATGTGATGGTGGACATCTCATGCCCTAAATTAAGGTAGAAGGGAGGAACACATTCAATGTGATGGTGGACATCTCATACATCAAATTAAGGTAGAAGGGAGGAACACATTCAATTTGATGGTGGACATCTCATACAACAGATCAAGGTAGAATGGAGGAACACATTCAATGTGATGGTGGACATCTCATACGCCAAAATCAAGGTAGAAATGCAGAGGTACATATTCAATGTGATGGTGGACCTCTCATACACCATATCTAGGTAGGATAATGAGATATAAATAGTTATTAAATGTACATACTTTCCACAGACCATCAGTCGGCATAGGCATAATCTCCAAAATCACCCCCTCCCACCCCCAATATCCTGCAGTGCGTAACTTATCAATTATGGATGATAATACTTATTTGTACGTTTAGTATCGCATTTTTGCTCTTAAAATTATTATAAACTTCCTGACATTTCGCACTTTAACTTTCCATTTACCGGTATGCTCCTGTGGACATCCGCAACCCTGATCATTGTTGAAGATTATTTTTTTCATTAAACATTTCTTAAACAAATTTAAATATAAACAATAAAAGGTTGAAAATATTTTAAAATAATATTTTACTGATCCTTACAATCAGAAGAAAAATCAAGGATATATAGTAAGACATAATAATAAAGTTTATTTGAAAAAATCACACTTCATCCCAAAAGGCTCGAAGCGCGGTATAAAGTCAGCCATATTAAAAGAGAACTGAAACAATCTATATTTTACCACAATAATACACAAAACGCAACACTAAAAAACTACAAACCAGCATATCCAGTCAGAGTCTTTCATCCTTGCAACCATAAACAACACAAGCCAATATACATCTAGGAGACAATAGCTAGCTGGAAAAGATGGTAGACAACATCACCCCAGCAGGTGTTTCAGACATAGATGTATTTTCAAATCAGTTTTGAAGGCTTCCATCGTCTGCCTGCAGAGGCGTAGCGTAGTGGGGGGCAGGGGGTGCAGATGTTAGTTGCGCCAAAATGTGCTTTGATATTATTTTTTTGATGAAAATAATGGGTTTGAGAGTTGAAAAAAATAAAAAGGGGCGCTAAAAATTGATCTTGTCCCCGGGCGCGAATCTTGTCCCTGGGCGCCAAACACCCTCGCTACGCCGCTGTCTGCCTGTCTCTGAGATTGGCAGGAAGACTGTTCCAAATTGTTGGGCCAGCAAATGCGAAAGTGTGCCTTCCGTAAGTCTCAAGGCGAACACGTATGTTTGATCCTTATTTTGCTACAACAATGCTTAACTATGCAGAAGTCTAAATTTAATTAATTTATTAAAGCAAGGAAAGCACACACACAAATAGGGTGGGGGTGGGAGCAGAGAGAAAACTCAGAAACCAACTCAGCTCGCAGCAATTAAAATTAATTCAAATCTCTTCAAGAGAAATATAACAATAAGGAATTATTTTAGTGTTCCGACATAAGGGACACTACACCTTAGAAATAAAATTAAAGTTTAGTATGACGAATTACCTCCCCTCAAATGTGCAAAATCTGTAGCGTAACAGAGTGGGTGTGATGGAGATATGTGTAGCGTAACGGAGTAGTGTAATGCTTGCGAAATATGTAGCGTAACGGAAGAGTGGGGTGATGGTGAAATATGCAGAGTTACGTTGACCGTGCACTGTGACATCTAAATGTTACATAGACACCCTGCACAATGAGACATGTAGTTACTGAACTAACTGCAGTGGTCAAGTTACTTAGGCACTCTGCACAATGAGACATGTGGTCATTGAACTAACTGCACTGGTCAAGTTACATAGGCACTCTGCACAATGAGACATGTGGTCATTGAACTAACTGCACTGGTCAAGTTACATAGGCACTCTGCACAATGAGACATGTGGTTATTGAACTAACTGCAGTGGTCAAGTTACATGGACACCTTGCACCCTGAGACATGTGGTTATTGAACTAACTGCAGTGGTCAAGTTACATAGGCACTCTGCACAATGAGATATGTGGTCATTGAACTAACTGCACTGGTCAAGTTACATGGACACCCTGCACAATGAGACATGTGGTTATTGAACTAACTGCACTGGTCAAGTTACATAGGCACTCTGCACAATGAGACATGTGGTCATTGAACTAACTGCACTGGTCAAGTTACATGGACACCCTGCACAATGAGACATGTGGTTATTGAACTAACTGCACTGGTCAAGTTACATAGGCACTCTGCACAATGAGACATGTGGTTATTGAACTAACTGCAGTGGTCAAGTTACATAGACACCTTTCACAATGAGACATGTGGTTATTGAACTAACTGCAGTGGTCAAGTTACATAGGCACCCTGCACAATGAGACATGTGGTTATTGAACTAACTGCACTGGTCAAGTTACATAGGCACTCTGCACAATGAGACATTTGGTTATTGAACTAACTGCAGTGGTCAAGTTATATAGGCACCCTGCACAATGAGACATGTGGTCATTGAACTAACTGCACTGGTCAAGTTACATAGGCACTCTGCACAATGAGATATGTGGTTATTGAACTAACTGCAGTGGTCAAGTTACATGGACACCCTGCACATTGAGACATGTGGTTATTGAACTAACTACAGTGGTCAAGTTACATGGACACCCTGCACAATGAGACATGTGGTTATTGAACTAACTGCAGTGGTCAAGTTACATAGGCACTCTGCACAATGAGGCATGTTGTTATTGAACTAACTGCAGTGGTCAATTTACATAGGCACTCTGCACAATGAGACATGTGGTCATTGAACTAACTGCACTGGTCAAGTTACATAGGCACTCTGCACAATGAGACATGTGGTCATTGAACTAACTGCACTGGTCAAGTTACATGGACACCCTGCACAATGAGACATGTGGTTATTGAACTAACTGCACTGGTCAAGTTACATAGGCACTCTGCACAATGAGACATGTGGTCATTGAACTAACTGCACTGGTCAAGTTACATGGACACCCTGCACAATGAGACATGTGGTTATTGAACTAACTGCACTGGTCAAGTTACATAGGCACTCTGCACAATGAGACATGTGGTCATTGAACTAACTGCAGTGGTCAAGTTACATGGACACCCTGCACAATGAGACATGTGGTTATTGAACTAACTGCAGTGGTTAAGTTACATAGACACCCTGCACAATGAGACATGTGGTCATTGAACTAACTGCAGTGGTCAAGTTACATGGACACCCTGCACAATGAGATATGTGGTCATTGAACTAACTGCAGTTGTCAAGTTACATAGGCACTCTGCACCATGAGACATGTGGTCATTGAACTAACTGCACTGGTCAAGTTACATAGGCACTCTGCACCATGAGACATGTGGTCATTGAACTAACTGCAGTTGTCAAGTTACATAGGCACTCTGCACAATGAGATATGTGGTTATTGAACTAGCTGCAGTGGTTAAGTTACATGGACACCCTGCACAATGAAGCATGTAGTTTTTCATCAAATCGTTGTTGTCAAGTACTTACGTGGACTAGAGTCGGTCAATAGCGCATACTGTTTATAAAGCAACTTGTAAAAAAAAAAGAACAATATGTGAAAAATTATCTGTCTTGTTAAATACTGTTAAGGATATCAACGTGTTTTTTAATGTTGCTGTACTAAGCTGACTAAGTTTGGAAGTGAGTGTCGAAATGAAATGATGGGCTGAATGTGGTGGTGGGGGTTTATGATTGAAAAAGGTGTTTGTGTTGGGTGGAAAGTGGGGGGTGGGGGGGAATCGTGATTCGGAGTGTAAATGGTGTCTCCCCATTGTTCATTAATCTCATTTTAATCATTAAAGGGAATTAACAATTCAAAGCTTGTTCGATTACGCCCCTTAATGTATATTTATTTTTTAAAATATATTATAAAAATTAAATAAACTTTCCATTGGTAACGTTCGTCCTGGAA